TATATATATATATATATATATATATTTTTTTTTTTTTTCTTTGAGAAAATCATAGAGTGAGAATGGGTAATGTGAATGCTCGAGAAGATGGGAGTGGAAGCCCATCTGGGGCTGAGGAAGATGGCGGTGGCAGCGTACAAGAAGAACCCATGGCGTCTCACGGCCACGTGACGCCCGGTGGTTCGTCGGAGTTGATGGGCCAGTCTCCTCCTCATAGCCCTAGGGCCACTCACTCCCCACTCATGTTCACTCCTCAAGTAAGTTATTCTTCTTCTTCTGATTTGATTTGATTTGGTCTTTGAAGTTTACTAAATTTTCTTAATTTGTGTTATTTGGTGAGAAATGATAACAGTTAACAATTCAGTGACGGAAATTTGATCCCCGATAAGTTTTTTTTTTTTTTTTGGTTTAGTAAGAGTTTTGTTTTTTGTTGGGTTTCTAAATTTGGCTACCTTGGTGTTGCGAGCGTTTGAGATCTTGTAGTTCTTATTATGATTTTGCGGGTTGTGAATTTTGCGGAGAAATTGAAGTTTAAGTTTTCTCTTTTTTGAGATATTTTCTTGAATATCCTTTTCATTTGGTAGTTCTGTTAGGCTGGTGGTTTTGCCTTGTACTCTGTAGGTGTTTGATTTAAGTCCAGAATATGAATATTTGGGGTGGGTTTTTAGTCCTTAGGATTTTTCTGTATACTAGAAGTTAGAAGAAGGGCAAGCTTAAACTTTATGCAATGCGCTTATATGTTAATTCAGTTAATTTGTTGTATGGCTATGGCTGAAGTTTTGTGATGGATTTATTGGGACTTTTTAACGAGCTGCCATACATAATTGTTTAAAACGGGTAACTAATTTGGAGGCCATGTGTTTTGACTTTGAAGTTTTCGCTGTATATGTAGCGCCCGGAAAACTTCAGGATTGCTTGCGCTGTTGTAAATTCAACTCAGTTGTTTTTTGCTATGTGTGTATCATGGCCATGTGTTTCGGCTTTGAAGTTTTCGCTGTATATGTAGCGCCCGGAAAATTTCAGGATTGCTTGCGCTGTTGTAAATTCAACTCAGTTGTTTTTTGCCATGTGTGTATCATGGTCAATTTGTGATGTTAATGCACAACAATTAACTGCCACTTGCTTTTTTTTTTTTTTTTTGTGCCTGTTCTTATTTTTGGCTTTTTGGCATTCTTGATCCTTTTGTTTTGGCTGGGAGATCCATGATTTTCATGGTTTTGTTCTCAATTCCTTCCCCTATATGGCTTTATTAGGTCCCTGTGGTGCCATTACAAAGGCCTGATGAGAGTCACATCGCGAGCTCCTCGTGGATGCAAACTAGTTCAGGGTTCGAGGACATGTCCTATGAACAAGGAATTCCAACAATGATTACATGGCCTTATGGTGGCAAGGAAGTTGCTGTTGAGGGATCATGGGACAATTGGAAGACGAGGTTTGCTAAGAAAAAGATTATTTATTTGTTTCTTTTTTTTTTTTTTTTAGTTTCTACGTTTTATTTGTGATTGACTACTGTGTAATTGCCTGCTGCTACTTATTGCTCAGAGTGCTCCTTCAGAGATCAGGGAAGGACTTCACCATTATGAAAGTGCTTCCATCTGGTGTATACCAGTATAGGTTTGTTGTTGATGGCCAGTGGAGGTGTGCCCTGGACTTGCCCTGCGCTCAAGACGACTCGGGACACTCCTATAACATTTTAGACTTGCAGGTAACACCCATCCTTCTCTGCTTTTTTTCTTCTTTTTTTTTTAGTACCAGATAGGCTCTAGACTCTTCGTATGCAGCACTTGCTTGAACTTACTGAACCAATGCTATGAAATTTTCCGTTGAGATCAGCTTTATAGGCAGTAATTTTCAAAAGACGTAATCAAATATTTATCGGTCCTTGATACATGTCTAAAATATATTGGAAACTCATTTTCCTTGTATTTTCAAAATATTCCAGATAGCATTTATTGTGCTTAATCTCACTCTTGCCTTGGCTTAGGATTCGATTCCCATGCCCCCTTATTCATAGCACTCCAATAATATCATACTACTCAACTAAAATGCTACATGTCAATTAAGATATCATGTCACATTATCTAAAAGGTCATGTAAGTTAAAATATTGTAAATGATGTGGTGTGATATTATTAATTGACACAAAAGTTGAACAAGAAAAAAGGGACATGTGAGCTGATTCCCTTGGCTTATAGTTCTGGAATAGAAACATAATTCTTGGCACTGTTGCTCAGCTGCCAAGCAAAGTTGGCACTGTTAGTTACATAATTGAACCTTGTGTTGCAGGATTATGTTCCAGAAGACATTGAGAGCATATCTAGTTTTGAACCTCCCCAGTCCCCGGATTCGAGCTACAGCAACCAACAACTTGGGTCCGAAGATTTTGCAAAGGAGCCGCCATTGGTTCCTCCCCACCTTCAAATGACGCTGCTCAATGTGCCCGCAACCTACTTGGAGATTCCGCCGCCTTCATCAAGACCTCAACATGTGGTACTCAACCATCTTTATATGCAAAAAGGGAAGAGCAGTGGCCCATCTGTGGTGGCGCTAGGCACAACACACAGGTTTCTCGCCAAGTATGTGACGGTCGTGCTCTACAAGTCCTTGCAGAGGGGAATGTAGGCCAGGTCTATGCGGATTGGTTAGATTTATTTATCTAGCTAATATAATTTTAAGATTTCAATGGCACTGTAATGGCTTATGTAAGCTCAGGAAAGAATATAAGATGAAACTTCGAGAATAGTATTTCACATAATGCAATTGCTTCTTGACCATTGATCCATCAATCTCTTTACCTTTTCGTGGATATTTGATGACTGTATATTAGTCGGCTTTTACTCCCCTGAACTTGCTGTGAAAGGAAAGAAAACTTACCGTAAAGGAATATGTAATGGGGCGTATATTTACACTTGGAAGGGAAGCAAGAAAGAGTAACTCTACGCAATCAAATTGTTATCAAATTTGAACTTCAAATGATATCTGGTTGCATAATAACTTTTATTTCTAAGAAAAAGGAGACAAGTACTTATTATATGTGTTTGGATTTTTATTATTTATTCTTTATTAATAACCTTTATAATTAAATAACTCGTTTGGTTCACTAGTTTGAATTTTGTTGATTTAGGGGCTGTTTTTTTGCCCCTTTTGAGATAGGTGATTTGAGTGTAGATTTTGAGTTGAGTTTGAGTTATAACTTGAGTTAAAGTTATAACTTGAGTTTGTGTTGGGTTGTGTACATTTGAGTTATGGTTTGAGATAAAAATCTTTTTGAGTTTGTGTTTGAGTGAGTCAAAACTTGAATTTGTATTTAGATAGTATTTTAATAAAAACACCATGCTGATGGAAAATTTTAATAGGGTATATGGGTGGAGTTTTATTCGTCTTTTCGTTGTCAACACATAGAAAAAAAAATCATCTCAATCAGAATTAAAACGAAAAAGTTATAGCATTTTTAAGAATAGAAAAAAATATTGTTCATTAGTTTGAGTTTGAGTTTCTGAACTCGAGTTGAAGGGGAAACTTAAATTTGAGTTTTAGTCCCAAACTCGAGTTCAAATTCGAGTTCAAACTTAAAAGAACATGAACTTAAATAAAATTATAACTCGAGTTGTTTTTTTTGAGTTTTTAACTCAAAAAAGGGGCTGCCGAACAGCCCCTTAGACTTTTTGATTTGAACAGAAAAATTCAAACTGTGTAGTTTAAATTGTAATTTGAATTGAAGTTTGGATGTGTACTTAAAGTTTTAATTTAAATAGGAAATAAAATTTAAATTTATATTTGGTAGGTGTGAAAAGTAAAGAGAGTGAGCACCTTTTTATTGTTCAAAACTGGTTTGAACGGTTGAATTTGAGAGGAGAGTTAAACTCTAAGTTGAACAGTTCAACTCAGTTCAAACGAGAAATATAATTAACTATATGCTTACTAAACACCAGTTTAAATTGTGCTAACCGTTTAAACTGAGTTGAACTGAATTAAACTAATAAAATAAACACGAATTATATTAGTCGGAAAGATATTAATTAAGATGGAGGGGTATCTATCAAGTTAATTTGTATATTATTTGACATTCAAAATTCAATAAACAATTGTCCCGACGAAAAGTAAGAAAACTCTGAAAGTCTGTTGGTGTTGATCTTTCTTTCCTTTTTTACCATTTTTCCTCTGATCAGAAAGTTGCGCAGTGGAATTTATTTGGATCGCAAGGTGAGATAATAGGTCCCTAGGTTCTAAAAAATATGTGCAGCATACGGCGCCCAATATTAGACATGACCAGGATTCCAGAAAATCGAGGAAAAAAAAAATTAGTCATGAGGAATGGCTGCACTAAGTCCAAGTTTGATCTCATTCCTTTCAAAAGTCAAACGCAGAGTAATACAGTATAGGATAGAGGTGATATTTATTATTATTATTATTATATTTATTTATATTCAAGAAAAATGAAAGAGGTTGCTCATTTATTTACTGCCTTTGCATTTTACAATGCACATTTTGTAAATTGTAGTCGGTACAGATTATTATTAGTCGGCCACAGATTGCACTTAAATAACTAATTCTATCCTGAAGCATTAGTGGGGAGACCCTTTTTTTTTGTTTTTTCCTTCTCTTTCAGAGAGAAGAAGCAAGAAAATTATAGTCAACTGCCAATTCAACACATTTTTTATTTCTTCTCTTCTTCCCTAGTCATGGCCACATCATTTCCTACTTGTTTTCAGCTTCAGAAAACTGGACATCCATCAACCTTAATACCCGGTGCAGTCGGGCATGTTGCCAAGGGACAGTGATCAAGGGAAGTGCCCCACCACTTCAGATTTTTGTTCTCGTTCTGCAAGGCGAAAAACAGCAGGACAGCCATGAATGCAGTTCCAGCATCCAATGCTGCGGATAGAACATAGTTATATTTCTGCCACCATCGTTTGTGGTATCGGAAAACAAAGTAGTTGAAGATGGTTCCGGTGATAAGCCAGCTCGCTATGTTGAACTCGCTATGTTGGTGGGAGTTGCGGGAGACATTCCTGCAAAGCCATAGGATATAACTGGTATGTTTATCAAGGGAATCCATTTCTTTTCTGGGAACATTTTGCTCAGCAACCAGATAGGAACCGGCAGGACAGCTCCAATGAGGAATAGCCACACCAAGTTTCGATACAATCCTCCTGGTCCAAACAGCCGCTTTGGTCCAATCAGGCCCCATATGACAGAAGCGTCGAAGGTGACTCGGTACTTGGGACAAGTCCATGGACTGTCGGGGTGAAGACCTTCGACGTCGCATATGTCGTCAATGCTTTCCAGCATCCACCATGCCACTGCAAGGTTGACTGTGCCAGCAACAATAGTTCCCACGAGCTGATAATCGTAGAAAACGAGTTAAAAGAAAAAAAAGAACTTTGAGGAATCAAAATATGATAAAAGTTGCGACGTATAAAGACCTGTGCTGTGTACATGCACCGCGGCGGAATTTTCATGTAATGGCCAAGTTTGAGATCAGACAAGAAAGAGAGAGCATGGATAGTGCTGATTCGTCCATAGATTTTGAAAAGCAAGTTTGCAATGGGTTTCCCTGGTAGGACATACCCAATAATGAACTGTGCTATTATGTCATATCCTGGTTGCTGTAATAAAACCACAAGAATCAAAGATGCTATATAAAAAAATAAAAAATAAAAAAATAAAAAAATAAAAAAAAATAAAAGAAAAGAAAGAAAAGAAAAGAAAAGAAAAATTTGCAAACGTTTGTTCCTGATTCTCACAACAGTGGTTTTGTTATGTCTGCATGAATAAAGGTGAAAAAGAGAATAAGTAAAGGAGAAAGTTTTCTCTTTTATGACCTGATTGGTGGTTGCTTGAATGACCCCAATTGGGAGAGTGACAAGCCAAGCCAAGGCAAAAGCAAATAACATTCCCCACCAAGGCAGCTGCACATCTTCTTTCCACACAAAAGACATCATTAATGACAGGACAATGCTTCCAATTAACAAGATGAGGAACCACCACTCAGGCACTTGCTTATAACTTTTCATTAGCTTTGCATGGATGTCAAGCTTCGCGTTCTTCAACGCCGATCGACTCTGCTTTAAAATGTCACTAGGAAAGCAAAAAAAAAAAAAAAAAAGATTTTCATTCAATGTCGAAAAATTTGCACCTATTCCCTAGTAATAAGTTCCAAGGTTAGTAGAAGAAAATCTTACCTGCCATGAAAGAGTGCCACATGAGTGAGAGTTGCTGTAAACCTTGCGAACCCTGACCCAATGGATAGCGCGAAAAGCGGGCTAAGATAGAGCTTGCTGTAACTATTATAAGCATCGACGTTAAGATCGAACTGCGGTGTCAAGATCTTGGTCGTATCGTATTTATGGCCAGTTTTAGTAAAGAGCTGATTGGAGAATATAGGGAAGTTCCTAGAATCAAAGGTATTGAACTTCCAGTAACAAAGAGGAACAATAATGTAGATGAACATAACAAAGCCAACTCCAACATTGAGAATTGAAGAGAAGGGTGTGACAAGTGGGCTTCCATGATAAGCTGAAATCCCAGCCCAATCTAAGGTGAAGGCACCAATCCCAAGTCCATGATAACCTGAGCCAATCTGCTGGGCAGTTACACTGTGTGGCCAAGCCCAGCAAACCCATGAGAAGAATGTCAATATTGGGAAGAGATAACCAGGGAGTGCATAGTATGCAAAGCTTGCTCCCATGGCAATGAGGAAAAATTTCATTCTTGTCATGCCTTTTTTCTTGTCCTCCTTTTCATGGAGTGCTCTGCATTAACACAGTCATTGATAGGGAAATAATCAGTGCACAACATTTTTACAAAAAAAAAAAGAAAAAAGAACCAGTAAATAGTCCAAACAATAATATATCAATCCAGCAAAAAGGTTGAGCAGTGAAACAAGACTGTAACATTGTAAACTAAAACAATCCACTTTGTGCTGATTTATGAAATCTTTTTGCTGGATATCTTACTTTCTTCTTATGCAAATTCTCCATCAAATCCAATTTCTTTTAATGAAAAAAGCTAGTCATTTTCAACTCGAGATTGTATTCTAAAATTGCAGTGTTTGACCTTTGCGTTCCTTTTAGGGAATCTGTTTCACCAATCTGGATGGACAAAGCAGGGAACAAATTCTTAACTAGTGAACATGCACTTAGTTTATGACATCATTGATAGGGAATTTAGAGATCTTTTTATCTAAAGATGTGTTAGGCTTTTCGGTACAAGAAATGGGCATACTTTGCACCACACTTCAATAATCTTTATTATATGAGATCTTTGCAAAAGCGCCCTATAGATCTCAGTTATGCTAATACTATAGGGTATGTTTGTTTTACAACTCAAGTTAAAATCTTAAGTAATGTATGTGAGAGAAAAATACTATAGTAAAAAAATTGAATTTAAATTTTTTAAGAAAAAATATTGTAACAATAAAACTTGAATTTTGACTTGAGTTGTGAAATAAATATATATTTTTATTTTATTTTTACAAGAATTTTGTAGTAGGGTAAAAAAAATACCATGTCGATTGGGCACAATTACCGTAATTATGATTTACTGACGGGGTATTTTTTTTCATATCCTAGCGCAAAATTCTCTTTGTAGTAAATGATTTTTTCTCCTTTTTCTAGCGTATTAAACTCCTAGGAAAGCATGAAGAAGAAAACGAAAGTTTTGTCTACTTACCTTCTCCATTTTTTTTTTCATTTTTTCTTTAAACCAAAAGTTTCTAAAGTGGAAAAGAATTCGTATAAATTACAACCCTCCATTTGGTCGGCCCATAAAATTGAAGAATGGAAAACAAAAAAAGTAGAGCCGTGTGTCTCCTATTTCTTTGATAGGAACTATCAGTGGACCAAAAAAAAAAAGACCATATTTGCATGTTTGATAGTAGTGCGAGAATATATTACTTATCTGTATTTTGTCCAAATATCTAATAAATTATGGCTCATCTAATTCATTAATTCGAGTTAAGATTTAATTTTACATGAGAATTTTTTAAGTCTCATTTAATTTACTAATTTAATATTTTAATTTAAATTAAAATGTGACTTTATGTGAGAATTTTTTAATATAATAAAAGAATTAAATGTAATTATTTTGAATGGATGAAATTAATGAAACCTTACCGTAATAAAATTTAAATTTTAAAATTGAATGGTGAAATAAATAAGTACGAGACTCTGTTTTGGAAATCAAACCAGAGTACGAAGAAAATGAGAAAAGGCGGAAAATGTCAAACCTAAACAGAGAAACCTGTGCCAGGTTTGCAGGCCACCACATTTCAACAGGATCAACCAGGTACCTCCTGAGCATTCCAGCCCATCCATAACCCAATATCTGTACACCATGATTTTTCAAATATTAATCCACCAAATCTGTCTGTCATATAAATTCCGGAAAAAAAGCAAACTTGTATTTAACTTGTAACAAGCCAATATCGTAGGGGAGAAAAGAAAGTTCCTATTATTATTTTGGTTATTTCATTTTCCAAAAAATGGAAGGAACAAAAAAGAAAGCATTCTGTGGGCTACTTTTAAAAAACAAAACAAAACCCAGATTAGGCGCACAGATGCCAATTAAACAAAAAAAAAAAATCCAGGCAGAGACATAAACCAAGAAACTATCTAACAAAAAAAGAAAAAACCTACAAAACTAAATGGGTTTATTGTACTTTCCGAACGTAGACACACGAAAAGATGAAATACCATTTTTTTTTTAAACATAAAAAGTGGCCTTTGTCTTCAGTTCTCAGAAGGAGAAAGGACCCCCATGTCCAACGAATAGATTAAACAATTATAAATAAAATATTAGACGATTCAAATTTTTTATTAACTCAAAACATTCTTATTAGTCAATTAGAATAACAGCAGAAAATCAACGACAACAAAAAGTACAAGTCAAAAATCGAGAGAAGAAAGAATAAAAAACCTGAGTAGTCAAAACGATGAGAAGAGCGCAGAGAAAGTTTACGCTCTGCTTGTAATACGCTTTCATAACCGTAATGGCGCCGATGGAGTACGCATCTCCGCCGCCAAACGACACACCACAATTGGCAAATATGGTGATGATGACGTGTTCCTTCATGTTGAATGGGCCTGGGTTGAGGCTGAACCTCCGGCCCAAAAGGCTGTACTCCTTCGTCGGAAGCGTGGCCGCCATGAACTTCCCGATGGGGAGCACCGAGATTTGCATGAGAATGGCGGAGATCGTCAACGGCTGTGTGCGGTACGTGAAGAAGGTGTTGAGAAATATGAGCAGAACGCACGAGCCCAGGCCCAATACCCAGGCCCGGAAAGTCAGCACCGGCAGCGACGGGTCGTCCGTCTCCGGCACCACCAGAGCTACCTCCTCAACCGAACATCTTTCCTCGGACGACTCGACGTTTGGCTTCTCGGTTTCCGTGCCTTGGCCGTTTGTCTTCGACGCCATTGAAATTGGTCTCCGTTTGTCAGAAACAAACAGAGCCTAATGACTGATTTGTGGAGTGAGTTTTTTTGTTTGATTGGAAGTGTCACAAAGAAAGGATTTTGTATATATACACACACATTATTTGGTTTGCTATTATATTTATATGAGTGAGGACTGAGGAGTGAGGAGAGTTTCTAAAAAACTTTATGACGAATGTGCCCTTTGTTGGTTGATGTTATTACGAAAATGGAATCTGAACTGAGTCCTCAAAAAGTCCCACCTATAGCTGACCTTTACACTGACTAGTGTCTGGTGATTTTGACGCTAACAATGGACTATGGAAGTTGAATGACTAAAACGTCCCGGGTTAGGACAAAACTATAATGATATTTTACACCTACCCATGTATTTTAATCAAAATATAAGAATCCATCGTGTGTTTTTACAAACGCTGAAATTATCCTCTATGTTTTTATTAACCACGCGAAGTTGGAAAATTTTTTTTTGAAAGAATTTGAATTATTAGAAGTAAAAATTGGTAGTGTAAATGAAATATATTAGTATTTTACATAAAAATATAGAATTAGAAAAATTTTAAAGGAACAAAATAACATAAATCTTGTATCAAACGTAAAAGATATAAATAAAAACTTTTTAAAAATATCAATATAAAACTTACAAATAGAAAATTTTAGGTGGGCTAAACAACAAGAAATAGAGCAAAATAATAAAATTTAAAAGAATACTAAAAGAGTTAGTTGCGCAGGGAGGGAAGAGACATAAAGCCTATTTGACAAATACATTTAAATTTAAAATTTTAATTCTGTTATAATGTTTTTTTCTCATAAAAAATTTAAATTTTAATTATTCACAAAATAAGAGGATCCAATGGCAGCAACTTTTATATTCAATTTTTCTTACATTTGAGAACATTCAACTTAATTATTTTGGTTTTTGGAAATATTTATTTTTATTGATATTCAACATAGTTATTGTCCTTAAAATCGAACACGGCGCATAATTTCTTTTATGCAATGCAAAAAAAAAAAAAAAAAAAAAAGTTTTCGCATTGTTAGAAAAATACATTAACATATTTTTAAAGTCTGTATGTATGTTGGTGGATCAAATAACCACGTTGTTTATTGGGTACTTGATATTTTCGCTATCTCCAAGAGACAGATCTGCTTGTCTCGTATCATATTAATATTACTATTTCGTTTTGAGATACATATGATCATACATATAAAATATAATTTGGACGTTACAGAGCAATAATTTAAAGCAGTAGAAAAGCTATAGCTCACCCAATTTGTTTGTAGTTTTGCGTCAAAAAAAAAACAAAAAAAAAAACAAAACAATGGTTTGCACTTTGGATTCTTGTAGGGGAGGTTCATAATATATATGGAATAAATGTAAATTAAGTCACTTTTCTTGATTATTTGGTGTCGGGTGTTGCTGGGTGATACACAACTGAAAACACGGGTATGGCCATTCAGGAAAAAAAAAAAAAAAACAAAAAAATCTGACAATGTGGATTAATAAGGAGTTGTTACTAATTACTTCTTCATAGATAAATTGAAAGAGAAAAAAGAAAAAAAAAATGAAGCTGAAAATAGAATTTTGGAAGACCCTTTGTTTTATTTTTATTTTTTTTAAAGGTTCCTAGTGATTGTGAAATTTATCTATCTCTAACATGTTTGTAGAAGTTTTGTGTAGAAAGAAGACAACCGCGTCTTAAGTGGAGCCGATCTTCTTAGGAGTTAGGAAGAATCTCTTATTTTTTATTTTTATTTTTTTTGAAAATGGAAGATTCTATTTACCAACTCACCAATCAGTATCGGTTATGGCTTAGTTTGGTATTACTTTTTCCTCCTAAAATCACATTCTGTTTGTAGCAAAAACTGATTTTAGTGTTTAGTAAATATTCTCAAACGCGTTTTTTGAAGAATTTTTCAAGAATATACAGCCAAAATCAGAAGCAGTCTAAACACAACTTTAGCTTTTTAATTGTGCGGGAATTAGCATAGTACAATTAATGAAACTACCCCTAATAAAATTTAAAATTTACAATATTCCTTATCCAAAATTCAGACTAGTAATATAATATAATAGTAATATTGTAACAAATAATATCATAATTATATTAATAACTCTAATATTATTATTTTATCATGTAATATGATATTATAATAATATTATTATAATATTATTGATATAATAAATACAATTATATCAATACAATATAATATATAATATATTATAATAATATTATTATAATATTATTGATATAATAAATACAATTATATCAATACAATATAATATATAATATATTATAATAATATTATTATAATATTATTGATATAATAAATACAATTATATCAATACAATATAATATATAATATATTATAATAATATTATTATAATATTATTGATATAATAAATACAATTATATCAATACAATATAATATATAATATATTATAATAATATTATTATAATATTATTGATATAATAAATACAATTATATCAATACAATATAATATATAATATATTATAATAATATTATTATATTTTATATCATAATTATATAATATATTATATATTAATCTCATAAATTATTAAATATGATTATATTAATTTTAAAACTAGCACAATTACTATAATTATAATTTACTAAATACTCAATTATTTTTTATAACAATTACTTCTTTTTTCAATATAATTAAACGCAAATTTTTTAAAATTTAGAGCACTATTAAACTAAGTTAGAACTTGAATAAAGTTGAGTAAAATTGAATAAAGTTGAAACTTAAAAGAACGTGAACTTAAATAAAATTAAAATTTAAGTTGTCTTTTTTAAATTTTTTAGACAAAAGAACATGCCCGTATATATATCTTTATAAGTACAATATTTTAACAATTTCGAGGGGCAAGAAAGATAAAATTAAATATATTGATAATTAACAGTTCGGTTAACACAAATATGTCAATTTGCATTTGCGTGACAAGACATGCAACGTTCTTCCAAAAGAACATCAATTTCCTCTTTTTCATGCTGAGTACTTTTTTTGTCTTTTGTTCGGAAAATGGAACCGGAGTTACTTTACACTTGAGTTACATTTTTGAGTTATAATAATTTGAGTGTAAATTTTAAATTAAATTTAAATTATAATTTGAGTTAAAGTTATAATTTAAATTTAAATTTAAATTCGTTTATTTTACTGATTTGAGTTTAAAATTTGAGTTTTATTATAGTAAGAAGCTATCAGAAACAGTCACATTTAATTTTTTTTGTTATAGTAAAAAACTCTCACATAAAGTTACGTCTCAACTCAAATTAAAAACTTGAATTAACGAACTAAACAAGTCTTTAATTGTGTATATTTAAATTATGATTTGAGGTGAGAATGAAACCGGAGTTACTTCGCCATGTTGTTGATGATCTTCCCAATTTTATCCTTCAATAGAACTTGTCTTGTCTTCTTCAGCATGCTAAGTTTGGATGAAGTACTTGGACGCCTTTTATTGTTTTATTTTATTCCTCTTTTGTGTCTTTGGATCAAGGACGTGAATATATATTGCAAAGCAAATCTTGACGACTTATTAACAAAAAAATAAAAATAAAATAAAATCTTGAAGACAAAAACATCTGACATTCTGAACTGAAGTGACTAGCTTAAGCTTCCACTGGACTCGAATACCCACATGCGAGCATTACTCGTACTTGCATTGTTATGTTTACATCTTGCATGAAAAACTATGGAACATTAAATTTAGGCTATATTTAGTGACTTGTATTATATTTTGTTGCATTGTCATAATATAATAGGTGTTTAATGTCATATCATATTGTATAAGAGTTAAAATGTAAACTTTTAAAATTTTAAGGTCAAAATGTAATGTTTCAAAAAAATTTAGGGTCCAAAATAAAATTTCACAAATTTTCAAAAATTTTAATGTCAAATTTTAATTTTGCAAAAATTTCGTGGCTAAAATATAATTTTTTAAGAAAATTTAGGGTCAAAATATAATTGCAAAAAATTAATGGGTCAACATGCAATTTTTAGAGAGCATAAATTTGCACCCTCAAATTGTAAACATGTTCCAACAAGACCCTATGTCGTCCCAAACCCCAACTACCAGTCGTGCTTAATACCGACCTAGATTATGGATCCGCTTTAACATAATGCAATACAGTACACAAAAATGAGCCGTATACTATAATAATATGATATAAATCATATTGATTTACCATTCGTATTGGTTTATACATGTAATGATCACATTAAATATTGTATATGTATTATTATTTAATACGGTACTTTAATACAATCAAACAAACATGCTCTTAGTGTTTGTTTAGTAAGTGAGAAAAAAAATAGAAAAGAAAAGTATATATTTTACGTGAGACAAATAGAAATAAAAGAAATAATTTTTATATATCTATATATATATATATATATATTATTTGGTGTGGATCAATCTCTTCCCTAATCTCTCCATATTGGGTTTGTAGGATTCGAAGTCTTTTCCTCAATCCATTTCCTCACCATTTTTCATCTATCAAACACTATAGATTCTAAACATCCTTTCATTGACCCTCTCACTCCTCTATCTTTTCTCTTTCTCTTCTATTAAACAACTAAGTTTTAAGTTTATACGGAAGTACACATTCACTCTATCAACTTCTGATTTTGACCTCTTAAATAATGAATCACCTAATTTTCTATAGTTATATATATATATATATATATGTGTGTGTGTGTGTGTGTGTGTAGTTATATACCCTATCCTCAATAGACATTTCAACTTCAAAGGTACTACTAAACATGGACAATAATACATCATACTATGCAGTGATGCATTATACTAAGTCGACATGATGTAATAAAAAATTTAGATTAAATTGAAAAGATAGAAAATATTATAGTACATTACTAAGAATTAATCTTCCCTCTCTCAGATTTCAGTTTACCGGAGCGAGTGCATAATATCACTTATATATGAGGTAAGTTTCTCATCATTATGAAAACCGTGAAATTATCAATATATATATATGGGTGCAATTAGAATTGATTTTAAAATAATTTTATTTTTAA